CGAGAAGGCAGAACAGACATAGCCCTTGTTTTTACCGTACTGTCGATGTTTTCGGCATACGAAAATAATTGCATGCTCTTGTAAAGTATTGGGCCTGAGCGGTTCAGTTCAGCGGCTGTTATCATCTTCTCCAACATCAGATTAAAGAAATCAGACGAAAGGGAGTCACCTGGGGTGAAACTTCGTTTGGTATCCAACGACTCGGAGAGCTGCTTCTTAATTCCCACGATGCTGGTGGTATTGCTCAACGTAATTTTACCCAGCCGTTTCAGTTTCACAGCGATGTCGCGGCATAAAGACCACTTTCCGTGGTGTGTGTCGACTCTATTCTCTCAAGTCTTTTTTTAGGTTTGGCGTATTGTAAAAGCCTGGTGTATGATGGATTAACCAGGTCTAAAGTCGTACTGATAAGAATNACGGCAGTATTGCCTTTCTTGTCATAGTATGGCGGTGGGACATCGACTCCGTCTTCATCGACTGGGGTTAGGGTTCATCTCTTCCACTGCTTTCAATTCTACTACTACCATTCAATAAGGCCGAAAAGTGTCTCCTCCATAAGTTAAGTATGTTTTGTATATCGGTCACTAGGTCCCCTCTTCTGCTCCCTACATTGGTCCAACAAAGCTTGCGTCGCGCCCGATCGCAGCGTAGTCCTGTAGGCGGAATCTCTTCCGCAACTTCTTCGGCGACGGTAAGTAATATGCAGAAATTGTGGTTCCACTGCTTGCATATGTCGGTCTGTTGAATAGGGCTCCTTAGAGCAGGAGTGAGAGTTAAATGGTGAATAAATTCGCCGTCTGTCGTGATAGTAGCTTATCAATGTTGAGCTTTCTTTGCATTTCTGGATGCACTTTTCATAGTGCACAGAGCCCTGCCCGTATATTGGGTGCAAAAAGTCAGTGGTTCGAGTCGATGTTTATCCCTGGGGGTGTACGCACATCTAAAACATTGCAAGGTACCTTCCGCCTATTACAACATGATCAATTTAGTTTTTGGTTTTTCGATTTGGAGCCAGCTTGATCGATCTTTTTATGCTTGATCCTAGTACTACGTACTAAAAAGTTTTGGACCTTGGCGAAGTCAATCAGCCTCAGTGTGTTTTCGGGTCTTTCGTCGACGGACGTAGAAGTATAGAAGGTAATGAGTAGGCTGGTGAGCTGGCGAAGGCAGGAGCCGGTTTGGATGAATCCGATATTCCAAAGAGAGATGAATTCGTATTTCCTTGAACTGGCTAGACGCAGGTGGTCAGATATACAGACCTGTACAATATAGAGAAAACTATGGCCAGACTACAACAAGACGAAGACGAAGATCAAGGCCAGAGGTTTTCAGAATTGTAGCATCCATTACGGGGCACTGGCCGATAGGCAAACAAATGCGACAAAAATAGGACTACTTTGGAATACTAGACGTAAAACATTAGGCAGAAACTTGGTAACATCACTAACCGAACTATCAGGAGCTACCATTAGCGAAATCGGTAGATTCATCAGACAAAATGTCCACCGGGAGAAGTGCTTTAAAGTGGTTTAAAAATACGCTAATTGTGACCTAGACACCACTGCAACCAACCAAACAAATTTGTAGAAGAAGAAAATCATACCGATATTATTGATAATGTGTACTTATTGGAAGGATACGTCTACATACATAAATTTGCAGGATAAAAAGAAGTGTGAAAGGACAGAAGTATTCGGCGAAGGTAACATACACGAAAATCCTGATGTCGGTGGAAGTAGTGAGTCAGAAGAGAAGTTCCAAATATTGTCGAATATTTAATTAGTATCAGTTTTCGGTGTGTTAATGAGCGAAACACACAACAACCATTTTGAAGACTGCTAGAGCATAATCAAAGACATAAGAGAGAAACTACAACTTTATATTCAAGCAATGTTAAGTATATTTGTACACTTAAATACAAATATATCTGTGTTCGTATGGAATAGTAGCTTATGTATATCGGGAAGCTGGCTTTAGTATTATCCGGCATTCGCTTTATTCTTTAAACGACAAGAAATTTTTTTTATGAATCTTAATAGGAATATTGACTTGCTTGTATCGGAACTATTTCTTGCAGGTTTATTTGCCAAAAGTACTTCAACGTCTCGGCGCCAGTGAGTCATTCGATGGAATTTAGACCGCGTGAATTATGGCCGCGTTTTTATTTGTTCGGCGGCCTAATTTCATTTTTTTCGCGGCCTAATTTCACTTGGCAAAATGAGTTAAGCCCTCGGGCCTACACGCGGCCTTAATTCACGGAGCCTACTATTCCATACGAACACAGCTATGTATGTATCTAGGTCATTTTGTATATTTCAAACTTTCACAAATTTTACATTGTACTCTGCAGAAGTGAGAAAAATGAATAAGATGTACGCATTATAGCCATAAAAGTGTTCATATTCATCGGTTTAAAACCACCAGCGGTGAGCTAAGGATTAAAGAAAGGAAGTTATATATGATTTTTGTGTAATAACATTTTAAACATAATTACTATTATGAAATCTACAAAAAATGTATTAAGAACAATTTACCGTCAAGGGACGTTGACTTCTGCCGATAATTAGTAAAATACATCTACGAAATTCTTTACCGCGATCCATCCAGTTAGTATTGTAGGCGACTTCAGCTACATGTAGACTCTTTAAATCCAAAGAGCTTAAATACGTACATACATACATATATGTTGGAAAATATTAATTTTACCTCATGAGCGAAAATATCGGCGAGCCAATAGGTTAGAAATATTAAAATAGTTAAAATAAGTAAAATTCCGATGCCCTTAATCAAAAGTGGCAAAGTAAATTCCTAGGGGTGACAAAGGAACATAAAAGAAAAACATTTGATTAATTTAAAAGCAGCTTATTAACTAATTTTGTTGTAGTTTACTCACCATTGACGTATAAACTAACATCATGCAAAGCGTAAGACAGTACAAACTTGCGTCTAGCAAACTCATTAACGAAAAGAAGTCCTCCAAGTCTTCGCGGAATCTTAAAGTACAATTTATTATGGGTGCATTCTTTCTTGAAAGCGCATTCTGTCTTATCATGCAATACTCACTTGATGATCCGCATATGATAGGCCACGCATAATTTTACACTCTCCAATGCGTCCTTTTCATCCATTAAACATAAATCTGCCAATTTCTGTTGTAGATGTCTGATTGCGAAAATGCCGAAATATATGAAGATTAGCAGAAAGCTCACATAAGGAATATATGAGCACGTTGATACGGGAACAACCCAACACGATTGCAAGAGGTACATTATTTCATATGCAGGGCTCTTATGAAAATCGATGCCTGGTAATTCGACATCGGCCACAAATTCTTTGAAAATATATATGTACATATGTACATATATACAAGTTTTAGTTTGGCTCATAAAATTCACTATTTTACTTACTGCCATAACCAGTAGCTATTGGCTGAAGCGCAATAAAAATATTAACAAGTATCACACAACGCATCAAATATTTGGTACAAAAGCGTGCCTTCCAAGTAAGTTCATGCAATTTTTTCAAAGCGTTTTGATCATTTTGATGCTGAAAGTAACATACTTACATAT